TAAAGTTTGAGACTTGGAAATAATTCCTAAAGGAGCCAAAACAGTGGGCTGTAAATGGGTCTACAAAATAAAACTTGACTCTCAAGGGAATATAAAGATATATAAAGTGCGACTTGTGGCAAAAGGCTTTACGCAAAGAGAAGGGATTGATTACAATGAGACCTTTTTCCAGTCTCATGTAAGGATTCCTTTAGAATCATAATGGCATTAGTGGCACATTACGATTTAGAATTACATCAGATGGATGTAAAGACGGCACTTCTCAACGGGGATTTGGAGAAAAATGTTTACATGGCACAACCGAAAGGATTTATCATGGAAGAAAAAGAATGAATGGGATGCCGCCTAAAGAAATCCATTTATGGATTAAACAAGCTTCAAGACAGTGGTACTTGAAGTTTGATCAAACAATAAGGAATTTTGGGTTTAAAGAGAATGTAGAGGACATTTGTGTCTATGCAAAGTTTAAAAATGGGAAGTTTATCTTCCTTGTCCTGTATGTGGATGATATCTTACTTGCTAGTAGTGATGTCAATCTACTACTAGAGACAAAGAAGTTTTTGTCCTCAAAATTTGATATGAAAGATCTTGGTGAAGCTTCGTTCGTTCTAGGGATCGAGATTCACCGAGATACAAGTAAAGGGGTATTAGGACTGTCACAAAAGGCATATATAGAAAAGTCTTAAAGAAATTCAGTATGCACAAATGTAGTCCCTCACCTGCTCCTATAGTCAAGGGCAACAGATATGGAGATTTTCAATGCCCTAGGAACCAATATGAGATCGATCAAATGAAAGCGGTGACATATGCTTCAGCTGTCGGAAGCTTGCAATATGCTCAAGTATGTACGCGCCCTGACTTGGCATTTGTTACCAGGTCACTTGGCAGATTCCAGAGCAATCCTGGAACAGAACACTAGAAAATGGTAAATAAAGTCTTGCGTTATTTGCAAGGAACGAAAGCCTCATGATGACGTATAGAAGATCATATTCACTCCATATAGTGGGATATTCTGATTCTGATTATACGGGAGATGATAGAAAATCCACGTCTAGATATGTATTCACTCTCGCAGGGGGAGCTATTTCATGGAAAAGCTCAAAGCAAACCGTCTCTACATCGTCCATAATGTATGCCGAGTTTGTAGCGTGTTATGAGGCAACGGGGCAGGTGAACTGGCTAAAGAAGTTCATACCTGGTTTGAAGGTGGTTGACGACATCTATGGACCACTTAAGTTGTATTGCAATAATAATTCGGTAGTACAGTATGCTCACAACAATAAGTCAAGTGGTGCTGCCAAACACATTGACATAAAGTATTATGTTGTGAAAGATAAAGTCCGGGATCATGTCATAAGTCTTGAGCATATAAGTACCGAAAAGATGCTCGCGGATCCGCTTACAAAAGGCTTACCACCCAACGTGTTCAGAGAACATGTAGCTAGCATGCGTTTAAGGGAAAGCCTAAAATTTCTAGACAAAAGAAGGCCCAAAGTTAAGTATCTATTTTAGAACAGAGTGGTGTGTTGTAGCTGTTAAATCTATCGATAATTGACCGTGACGATGAAACATGCTCTATGCGCTAATCTGTAATGGAATGAACAAAAGTAAACGATATGAAATTGAAAGATGGTAGTAAGATCAAGGAGGAGAATGTTAGTTGATCTCCACCAATCTTGGATCTACGCCCTGATCGGGGGCGCCCAACCCTAGGTGGGAAGACATGGCTCGAACTACGAGGTTGACCTGAGCCACCATAACCACCTATAGAGAAACACTAATCCGATCTAAAGAAGGGTGCTGCCAGTGACGGGAAGCCCTACTGACTTCGCCATCACCTCTGCAGTGCCACCACCGGGACGTTGTACCTCGCATCGCTGTAGGGACTGTGACTGCACTTCATCTCAGGTCGCTGCAGGCGCACTAGCTACCAAGGTACACCAATAGATGTTTGTTTTACCCGCTAGATCTACACCTAGAGTTTAGAACTTTCTAACACAATGCAACTCTCTTCAGATGCACAATTCGTCAGGTACCCAGTAGGCCAGCATAGTGGTTGTGAAGCTCAAGTCAGTGTATTGTTGGGCAGTCACAGAATCCGCAGCTAACAGAGTACATCTTTTGAAGTCTGTCACTTTGCATCTGGGTGTAGAATCTGCATTCCAACAGAAATAAGCTTACGCTTAGCAGGAACAAAACAAACAACTGACCATACATAAAAACAAACTGCACAAAAGTTGGATGTTTGGAGGTAGGAGGAGGAAGGCGCAGTGTCAGTGCCAGCGGCACCTGAGTAGGCCAACGTATCTGTTGCGGTGAGCTTCTGTACCACGGAGGATGGCCGAGAAGGAGGGGGCGACCCAGCTCCAGCGTGCGGCCGCCGCCGAACCCTAGGTGCGTTGCTGCGAGCGGCACCCAAATGGACGCCACCAGGTCAGATCTAATGGGGGAACGGACGGTTCCGGCTATGGAGGCCCCGGATCGACCCCAGCAAAGAAGGCCGACAAGCATAGACCGACGCTCGATCCCGGCGCCGGCGAGTGAAGGAGAGGAGGAGCAAGGGAAAGAGACCACCTTCACCTAGGCCTGCTCGCAAAGGATTCTTTGTGCGCTGGGGCCGCTCGCGCTCGAGCCACCACGCAGGGCTTGCCCGCCTCAGGAGCCTCCACACTGAGGCCCGCCCACGCACAACTCTACGGTGGGGTGCGCCGGCCCCGCCGTCATCCCGCACCCGCACCAGGATGCTCTCGCCCTGGGGCAGCCCGCGCTGGTGCGGCACCGCGCTAGAACCCCAGGGGAGAGCAGAAGAGAGTGGAAGAGGATTAGAGAGAGAGAGGAGGAGGAGGAAGAGGATTGAGAGAGAAGGTGCCAGATATTTTGGTGCGAGCCAATCACGGACCGACAACAGCACAGCCGACTGTACAAAAAGGTCGAGCACCATTGGCCTGACAATCCAAAGGTCAACAAGATTTTTGCTACCGTGGACACGCTTTGCGCCCATTTATAGATGGGCAACGGCCCGGCACAGCACAATGGGATCGGGCTGACAAGGCAAGTTGTGCCCTGCGGGCCGTGCCTATCAGGCACGTGGGTCTAGCCTTCGGCACAGACACGGTACTATGGGTCTTTTTTCATGCCGTGCCAGCCTGTCAGGCACGTCAAAATTGACAGGCTGTGCCAGCCCACAACCCAGTTAACATGAAACACTTCAGAAAACTCAACTCACAGCCATAGTTTCAAATTTCAGTCAACATTCACAGAATAACTTATCAAGTATCAACTCATAATTTCATCACAGAATGACTTAGATAACATATCACAGAATGACTTAGATAACAGATGACTTAGATAACAGAAGAACAAATCACACATCACAGAATCACTTAGATAACAGAAGACTTAGTCTAATAAAATGAGCTGTTTTGTACAATACTGCCTCATTAAAAACCATTTCTAAGTAAAACTCACCCTTCTAAGAAACCCTAAAAATGAAAAAAGAGTCGTGCTCGGGGAACAGCCCTGCCACGATCAGGTCCTCGTTGCCGGTGACAGAATAGACGATATCGTCATCCGCCATTGGGCCCTCGGCCACGGATGGCAGATCTCTAGCCCCGTTCCTCAATGGTGCGTGCGGCCGCCTTGCCCGCTCTATGCCACAGCTAGAGGACGAGACATCGGCAACCGACCTGTAGAAAAAGGAGAAGGTCAGAACTCAGAAGGATGAACAGGTTAGGGTTAGGTTAGAACTCAATATGATGAACAGATTAGGGTTTGGGTTTGGGTTAGGGTTAGGGTTACGGCTCTTACCTGCACAACCGGAGCCCAGCGTCGGAGAAGACGAGGGCCACACAGAGGCAACGAGAGAGGGAACGGATTAGCAAAGACGGCGCGCAGTGGCGGAGAGAGTGATGGGGACACAAACTCACATGGTCACCGAGAGGACAGAGGAGACAGGAGAGATAGGGAGAAAGGAGGGGATCAGGGGACTCAGGGTCAGGTGGAGGAGCGGCGGCGAGGTCACCAGAGTTGGAGACGATGGCGATGGTCGACGCCTCGATGGTCGGAGTTGGATCGAGGAGCGACGAGCGAGTGAGCGGCTGAGCAAGAGAGGCGCGGCGAGGAGGCGGAGGGTCGGACTGATTAGGGTTTGGGGGTGAGGAGAGGGGCGCCATGGGCTGCTGCTTATATATGGTGGGGGTTGCGGTGGGAAGCTGGGCTAGGCCAAATGCGGCCTGCAGGGGTAGGCGCACCGGGCCGCCACCGGGCCTGCCGTTGAGGAGCAGGCCATGCCGTGCTAGCCCACGTGCCTGGGGTGAGGCCCAGGCACGGCCTGCTCCTCCGGGCTGTGCTTGTGCCGGGCCAAAGAAACGGGCCTCGTGCCAGGCTGACGGGCTCGGGCTGCATGCCCATATATATGCCCATTCTGTCCAGACGTTCTCTTATCTTTAGATCGTGTACAATTTATTAATTTGACAACATCTCTTGTTTTTTTGTACAAATTGAGAGATTGGTTCTATGTCCTTGTCAAGGATCCTTTAGGATCTGGTTGTTCAAGACTTCAAATTTACTATAGTTTTGAACTTATGATAGTGCCTTATCAGTTTAAGAAATATCATTCGTAGGAAATATAAAGAAACGTTGGATATTATAATCTATACCTTACCTAATATTAAAGAAGCAAAGTTTCTGTCATATTTTTTTTCGTCCAGCCTACTTTCCCATGTTGCTTTTCTCTGCCCGTCTTCGTGATTGTTACTTGTCCGCTCAATGATTGTGTTTTTCCCTTCTCTTTTTTTTTGTTTCAGTTTCTATCGTTCTTTTTTCGTGTTCAGCTGATTGGCTCGGTTTTTACCTGTTCTTTTGCTACCCGTGCTCCCGGCGCCGTCGCATCGGGTCGGGGTGCCGGCGCCGCCTGCGTAAGGCGGCCACCTCGTTTGCCTTCGGTAGGGTTGCCACCACCGGAGAACACAAGGTGCTGCGAATTTTCCACCGCCTCAAGGATGACGACCGACCACATCTCTTCAAGGTGCTTAGCCTCGGCGGTTGCCGCCGCGGCCGCGCACGGTGGAGAGACATGCCGAGTCCTGACATGTTCGTCTGTCCGGACAGCTGCACCATCGTCGGTCTACTTCTTGAGGAATAATGCCGTGTACAATGGCATGGTGGCGGCGCTGCCAGGCGCTGGCATTGTTGTTCCTCCTGCAGATTGTGTAGCTTCCTTCGATCTTGAGAGGGAGGAATGGAGGAAACGTCTCCAAGGGCCTATAAGCATGGGCTACGACGCTGATGACTCGGACGACGAGCTCGACCTCGACGATCCCGGTCCCGGGTGCCAATTTGCTTTGGCTGAGCTGAAAGGCTGTCTAGTTCTGATGAACTACTTCTACGGTATGACTCACCTCTGGATTCTGACTGACTTTGAGAGAGGCGTATGGGTGAAAGAATATAACATTCTGGTTAAGTCCATCGTGCCGGCATATGTGCGCCGCCTAAAACCATTGTTTGTGCTAGATGACGGGAGGTTGGTAGTGAGGCGACGATACGGACATGCGTTGGCCATATATGACCCTAGGACCGACGCCTGGGCGTCGGTGAAGTCGAGACCTCTTTCTCTTGGTTGGGGCAGTTGGTATCTACACAGGCAATCTGTTCGGTTTACAAGATGCATGGTGACACGCTATAGTATATATGTAATGGATAATCTGTTGGGTTTACAAGATGCATGGTGACACGCTACTAGTATATATGTAATGGATAATACACTTTTGCTATATATATCATGCATGGTGAAACTTCCCCTCTGACACCTAATTTTTTTGTGCGCGCCGGAGACCTCTGTTGACTGTTTCTGTGTACGTAATCTGACGGGCGTAGAAAAGTTTTAACGTTGATAGACCCGATATAGTTTTTTCAATCTTTTTTTAATACAAATTACAAAAATATACGATTTGACATATTATATTAAAAAAACATACACTGTCGCTCTACCGTGGTGCCAAATTGAGATATCCTTTCACGGGCGAACGAGACTAACTAATCAGCCTGTTCGTTTGGCTGTGGCTTGTTGTAAATGATCATAAATTTTCAGTCGGAATAGTATTTTTCTCTCACACAAACTAGCCAGCAGTACTTCTTCACGAACCAACAACGAAACGAACCCGTCAACCAATGTGGCTTGTCGTAAATGATCATAAATTTTCAGTCGGAACAGTATTTTTCTCTCACACAAACTAGCCAGCAGTACTTCTTCACGAATCAACAACGAAACGAACCCGTCAACCAAACAGGCTAAATCATTTACCGGCTGGCCGACATTAGATCTCGTCCAACGAGAAAACGACTCACCCAGTACTATCGTTCAGCCTACCACCAACTCTACACCCTCCCGGTGAGAAAATGGAGGCTGTTTCAAGATGCGGAATTTCCGGACTGAAGGAGAGGCGATTCCAGAGGCGACTGTGATCCCGAACCCAATCTAGACCGCCACACCGGCGATCTAGACTGCTCCGCCGGTGATCATCCCGATCATCAACGTCCACGCCCCGCCTCCGACCTCCAGTCGGGGACGACCACCTGCAAATCGCCAGTTAGCCTTTCCGGCGCCGTCGACCACAGATTTCCGAATAGGGGTTAAGGGCCACTTAGAACCCTAGTTCGGGATCACACTTGTGTTCGCCAGGTCTTTCCGTGGCGTGTCACAGCTTTGTTCCCCACCGTCTCCGCTAGATCATGGCGGCGTTGTGTAGGGGAGTTTCGGCCCCTATGGGTGGACGTGATGATCGCTCATCCGGGGAAGCTGATCCTTCGATCACAGACTTGTTGCAGAATCTCCACCTGACTGCAGAGGAGGAGTTGGCTGCAATCAGCGATGATGAAGAAGGTGAAGAGAGGATGGTGACTGAGTTTGCGCTAATGTGGAAGGTTCTATCCCCGGCGGCGCTGCACATAAGTACTATCAAAGGAGCCATGAGGCCGGCCTGGGGAAATCCCCCTGGACTGGAAATCCGATGAGTAGGTGAGAAGGGGCAGAACCTTTTCGTGGCGGAATTTGATCACCGTCAGGATATGATTCGTGCCCTAGAAGGCTCACCATGGATGGTGGGAAAGCATGCAGTAATCCTGCAACCTTATGATGAAACATTGAGGCCATCTGAGATTGTCTTTGACAAGATGGAATTATGGGTGCGCATCTTGAATCTCCCACTTGGATGGATGAACGCTCATCGAGGTGTGCGAGCTATGGGTCTGGTGGGTCATGTCATCAAGATGGATGTTGATAAAGGAGGAAAAGCGAGTGGTGCCTTCTTGCGCACGCGGGTAGCTGTCGACATTTGCAAGCCCTTGCGTAGAGGGGTACTGTTGCAGACGGACAGGAGTGGTAAGAAAGATTGGTTCGATCTTTAGTATGAAAAACTGCCTTTCTTCTGTAAGTCTTGTGGTGTCATGGGGCATTCAGAATTGTAACGTGATAAACCGGCAGCTCGGAATGCTTTGGGAAAGCTGCCTATGATATCAAATCGAGGGCTCCAGAGGACAAGAAAAAGAAAATGCAAAGCTTTTCGGCCGCTGCAGCGGATTCCTTTGGCAGTGTATCGTCCGGGAAGTCTTCCTTCTCTCGCCGTTCGTCGGAGAAAGAGGACGCCTTGCACAGTCAGCACAGTGCAAGCTCTAGTAAGGATCAGGCTGAAGAGGAGGAGGTTATTTCGCCTCTGAAGAAGACGGGGCATTGATGAAACACAGAAGGCTGCAAAGGAGGGGTCCTCTGTCAATCGGACACTCTTCCAGGAAAAGAATATGAACCAGCAGTTTCAGCGCAAGCGGAAAGCTAAGGGTTCTAGGGCCGGCTGTCACGCGGACCTAAACATACCGGTCACTGATACCCAGACTTTGGTGCCATCCGGCCTTGTTAAGGACCGTGTGTCCCAGCTAGGCGGGTGGAAGCCCTAATTTGGTTTTGAATAATTGATGAAATCTAGCATTAACCTTTGTCATGAGTTATGATATAAGCTAGGTTGGTGTAATCCAAGTGTGGAGCACGGTGATAAAGTCCATGGAGATGGAGATGGAGATGGACATATGTTGATGATGATCAAGCTCAACTTGAAAAAGACGAAAGAGAAAAACAAAAATCGAGAAGAAGACAAAGGTATATGATAGATTTTTATTTTGGCACTTAAGACACCATAGAGGGTGTAAGTGCACTTAGGATCAATAGCCGTATTATAAAAAGGAGAAATCTTTGGCTAAACGGTTTTATCAAGTGCCACTATGTGACATGACTTTTCCATATGCATTAAGGAACCTAGTGTGCTAACTTTGACCCTTGTAAAATGCTTTGGAAAATGCTAACACACGTACACACAAGTTCTACACTTTTGTGGCTAGCAAGTTGAAAACAAGAGCGAAGTGTTTGAGGAGATAGAAAAAGAAAAGGCGGTGTCGGTCCCTGACCGGATGTTGCACCGGGCGCTGGACCTAACTCCAGCGCCGCGTCCGGTCATTTTTAGCATGGTGGCTGCGTTGGCCGAGAGTGAAGAGAAGAGATCGGACACTGTGACCTGACGCGGAGGGCGTATCCGGTCATGTAGTCCAGAGTAGGCGTAGTACGGTCAGGCTATCGGACGCAGGTGGATTCTTGCGACTGGACGCACAGTAGAAAAGCAATTCCGCGATGATGTATGCTGGTGTCAGCAGCGAGAGCGCACAGTGAAGAACGCTGTGCTGACTGGACTCACCGGCGCGTCCGGTCATCCCTGACATGACACGTTCGGTCACCTTTTTTGCGCTCTGAAAGCTCTCTGTCGTTGATCGGACTCTGCATGGCCAGAGTTAGGTCAATTTCAACGTCGAGTCCGGTCATTCTTTGACTTACGCGCTGATCGTTTTCGACCGCTGAAATCTGGCGAACGCAGTTGAACGAAGGGACGCGTGGCAGCCATCTAGCGACCGGACTCGGGCGACCTGACACGGAGCCACGTCCAGTCAGGTGCGTCCGGTCGGCTCGCGGCTGGCCAATGGCTCTATTTCAAGGGGACGTCTATAAATAGTGTTTAGTCGGTCCTAGGCTCACTCTCTTTGCACTTTGACATCCTTGTAAGCCTAAGCAAACACCTCTCACTCATCTTCATCATTGATTCATCATCATAGTGAGATTAGGAGTGATTCCTAATGCATTTGCTTAAGTGATTGCATCTAGTGGCACTTGGGTATCGTTGTGGCTATGGATTTCTTGTTTCTCTTGGTGATTGCCACCAGCTAGACGGTTTAGAGCAGTGGAGAAGCTTCGGCACGAGTTGGTGATTGTTCGTGGCCGGCTCCAGTGATTGTGAGGGGTCTTGTGCCTTTCCCGGCGGAGCACCAAAAGGTAACTCTAGTGGATTGCTCATGTCATTGAGTTACCTCACTTGTGGATAGATGCTTACGATGTCCAATTGTGTGGACGAGGTCGCAAGCCCTTCCGTTATGAAAACATGTGGCGAAGGGACGAGTCCTATGTACAGCTTCTCCGGTCAGCATGCACTACCGGAAATCGGCACTTTGCCGAGTGCCGGAGGCTTTGCCGAGTGTATTTTATCGGGCACTCGGCAAAGACGGTCTTTGCCGAGTGCCAAATAAAATAGACTCGGCAAAAAAAAACACTCGGCAAAGATGCATTTTGCCTAATGCTATTTTTCGGCACACGGTAAAATGCGTCTTTGCTGAGTGCCTTTTTTCTGGCACTCGGCAAAGATGTATTTTGCCGAGTGCTATTTTTCAGCACACGGCAAAATGTGTCTTTGCCGAGTGCCTTTTTTCGGCACTCGGCAAAGATGTATTTTGCCGAGTGCTATTTTTTGGCACACGGCAAAATGCGTCTTTGTCGAGTGCCTTTTTTCTGGCACTCGGCAAAGAGGCATTTTGCCGTGTGCATTTTTTTGGCCCTCGGCAAATCAGTTTTTCAAAGCAATTTTTGAGGCCTTAAATGAATTCAAATGAAAAACTTTTCAACTACAAAGTTGTATAACTTCTCAAGATCTATAAAGTTTATTTTGGTCATTTCTTCATTTGACAAAGCGACAATAACGTTTTTCATAAAATCTACATCTCTCATATTAGTTTCATGAAAGTAGAAGAGAGATATATAAGATTTGTGAACAATGTTAATACCACTATGTCGGATGAACAAATGACCAAAATAAACTTTGTAGATCTTGAGAAGTTATGAATTTTTGTAGTTGGCAACATTTTTATTTGAAATCATCTTGTCATGCAAAAACGACGTTTGAATTTGAAAATTTTAAAATTTGAATTTTTCAAAAAACCTCGGATGGAAAAACTTCCTAAATGAAAATTGTAGATCTCCAAAAGTTATGAAACTATGTAGTTGACAACTTTTTGTTTTGAAATCATCTTATCATGCAAAACTACGTTTGAATCTCTAAAATTTGAAATTTGAATTTTTCAAACAATCTCGGATGGAAAAACTTCCTAAATGATAATTGTAGATCTCAAAAAGTTATGAAACTTTATAGTTGACCACTTTTTGATTTAAATTCGTTTAGGGCCTCAAACAAGTAATTTACTCTCGATTTAGTATAATATATGAGGATAGATAACAGAATCTAGATATAAGTGACAGTGTAGTGCAGTGGTAGAGCAGCAGACACGCGAGGGAGAGGTCGTGAGTTCGAATCCCGCTGGCCGCGTTAGCCACGAATTTAGCGCAAAAAATGCAGCGACTTCGATGGAG